AGTAGTGTTTTGGATTCGTCTCGAAATTACCTTTTAAATGAGCCCCCACTCGCCCTATGTTGCCATTTAAGATTTTCGACCCCCCTCGCACCCCCCCGGTCCCTTTGGAGGTGGGGGGGCGCCACCCCCCGCAGAAAGTAGATTTTTTGAAAAATCGTTTCACATGTTTCAGCGTTTTTTTTTAATGTTGGAAGTTGTCGAAATATTTGACCGTCCCGGTACATAATTGACACCCTGTATATAATATATACATATACGAATAAATAAAGAAAATTTCAAGAAATGAGACATATGCATGAAGAAAAAAGAAACTAAGTTTGGAACTAAAATTACAGTATTATAGCTTCATTTCTTATCAATCACCGATTTATTGCAATAATATCTTATATTAAATAAGATATTAGATATCTTATTTAAAAAATATGATCTTGGAATCAGATACATTGCAACTTCCTTTAAATAGTATTCAAGTATTGTCATTTTTCAGTAAATACTGCAGATGATTGAAAAAACATTACAATTTATTACGAAAAGCGTGTTATCTAAGATTACGGTTAATTTTCCAAGATTAATAACATTTTACACAGAGGAATGTACAATACACTTTGTATTAGAAGTTTCACGTTTGCGCAATGCAAGTTAGTCAGTAAGAATAAATTTTTGCAATTACAATTTGTTTTAAAATTTTTTATTTGCGACATTATATGATCTCTTCTTACAGTTTACAATAGAATTTATTTTCAGTATGAGAATTTGAACAGTTGATGACAAACTGACAAATTTACTCCCTTAATCTTACAAATATTATAGTTTATACCTCATTTAAACTTAATCAGAATGGATTAATTTGCTAAAATACGAATACACTTATCATTTTAACTACATTTAAAAGAGCATACTTAAATAGCATCATCTACAGAAAGGTAATTATTTTTATGATAATAGTAACAGTGATAACAATAATTCCAGTCTTATTCTTGTATATTAATAATTCTTGAGAATATTTTCTATTGTTCGTTATACTTTCTTATACAAGTGCCATAAACATAGGTACCATACATAAAAATGATATTGCCATCACAGTAATTTCTAAGGAAGGTAATACTGTACTTCTTACTAATTTGCTCTTTCTCTCTTGTAACTTTAAGTATTAAAACAGAATAAAATTAACGACTAGAAATAAAATTAATGAAAGACTCAATAATATATATGATCTTTCATCTATTGATTACATGAAGATAAAGTAATTTACATTGAATTTAATCTATGGAATATTGCATGTATATGAAATTGTATATTAGTACCTCTATGTTATATATATAAATTATGTACATTTTTAATTTTTTTGTAAATCATCTATATTATTTGTATATATATGTATATATATATATATATATTTTGTAATCCAAACAATATCTTAGATGATATAAAATTGTCTCTATTTTTTTATCTTAATTAACCATATCTGTGTATCATATCTGTCTTAATGTATCATATCTGTGTTTTAGTGGCTTTGTATCGTAAATTTTATGCATAATTTAATAGGGTGATTTTTCTAAAGATTTTACTTTCTTTCTTAAAACTTAGCAAATTTCTGCTAAATTAAACAAATTTTAAATATATATTATGATGTTAATAAAAATAAATATCCAATGGAGATTTTCAAGTAGCTCAAAAATATCTTAAAGTGTTCATGAATAATTGATAATTTTTTTTTACAGTATTTTATGACGCTGATCTTAATAAACACAAAACTTGTAATATACTTATTACATTGACATCATAAAACTAATACACGCAGCTAATCGACAAAATTACATAATTGTCACTATGAAAAAGATTTAAATAAACCACTTTGAAAAATATGTATGATGATGTTTATTCCTTCTATCTCAGTTTATTTTTGTAAATAGTTCTTGAGTCATACATTAATAAATATAAAAGATTATCTATCTTTTGTACACGAAATGTGGAACGTTTCAATTTATAAATAATGTATTTAGTAAGATTTCAGTATAAATACTTGATAACGAAATATTGAAAAATACATCATCAACACATAATTTATATATACACAATTTCTCATAATTTTATAAGAAAAAATTCTCACTTATAATTTAGGTAATTAGTTGAAATTTTCGTCTAGAATAGAGAAATAAAAAAAAGAGATTAAAAAAAGAAAATTATGAGAGCTCAGTTCAATATAAAATTAATTTAACATAGAAATGTCTTTATATTTTAATGAAATTTTTAATATTCTTTAATCAATTTTTAAAAATAATTATTAAACATTTTTTACATTATAATTTTCTTTTAAAAAAAGAAAAAAGAGAAAACCAAGAAAGAAGGAATATAATAATCTGAGTTCAAATAATGTTTAAATGATCTTTTCTTTTTTCTTTTATATATTATGCGATTTGATCAGTCTCGGATAAAGATCGTCATAAAACATTTGTTCATAATAGCAATATCAACAATACTTTCCATTGTTGCCGTTAAATACACACATGTGTATAATATATATTCTTATCCAATAAACACTAATAAAATAGCTTATATTATGTACGATATAGAATGTATTGGACAATTACACAAGCACAATACTGTAAACTAATAATTTAACATAAATGAAATTATATGTATTTATAATCTTCATCGTTGAAAACATCGGTTAACTAAAACAAAAATTATTGGACGTAAGGAGAAAGTAAAATTTTTAATCTGTTCGATCAATCCGAAATTCAGTAATGATGTAATGAAGTTGCAAGATGACAATCGAGATTATAAAATATAATTTCTACTACAACATTTCTATTTACAACAGGGAATTTCTATGCTCCTTTCTCTTAATGATTATTTACATCAATTTGTTACAACTCATTCAATCGTAATTTTTCAATTGTTTCACTTTTCTTTGCGCCTCTGTTTCACCTTCTGTGCCATAAAGATGAGATCGGTGCTTCATTTCAGTCGCAACAGACTTTAATAAACCAACAGAGAAACAGAAAAGAGTAAACATAAGAATAACGTAAGTAATGAAGGAAAAAAAAGAGATAATCAAATAAAAAGAACAAGCCACGTTCAAAAACATTACATTATGATATTAATTTCTGACCAAACTCACCAGACGAGAACGCACTCTTTTTGGCATTTCTTCTTGTAAACTGTAGATGTCATTACGTTTTAAAATAAGTTGAGAACCATCCTCGAAAATCACCTGAATAGAAAAAATGTAAATCACAATTAATAATTAAGTAATCAATAAGGAACAAATTAATCTCTATATATACTGAAAAATTACTTACAGTGAACATTATTCGATGATTTGTACCTTCGAAGACGGCATTATATATTTGACCGTCTGTCCAGTTCACCGTCACTGCAGCTCCAGGTAGAGGTGTATTTCCAGGTTTATAGTTCTAAATAAATATAAAATATATGTACAGAGCATGTCGCGAATAATACTGTATGTTTTAAAACAAATTTTAATCTTTGATCATTAAAGAAATTGGTAGGAATTGATTGTAACTATGTAGAAATTGAATTAAACTGATAAGAATGCAATGTTAAAACTTACGGTTACATCTACAGGGTACAAATCATCACTGAAGCTTTTATCGTCAAATGTAACCATATAAAAGACGGTATCCTCGATAGCTCCTACTTTGGCTTGATAATATCGTTTGTTACGATGCTTTGCCCACACTGTTTCTCCTTGACGTATCTGTGGGATCTTTTCTTTGCCTTCATCGTGTTCATTACATGTTACCTAAATGCCATAACATTGACATCAACATCTAGAAGCTTACCGATATAATCATGTTTTACGATTTAGAAAATACTGTACCCAAAGTTCCTCTGAAGTATATACTGGTATGCTAAATGTAGCGCCTGCCGCAAGACCACAAGATGGATGAAACACGTTATTGCACTGATTACATTTCAGGCACGCTCCACCGGCTTGGCTGCAGAAACAACATTTCTTGTGTAATGAGTCCGCGACGATCGTTAATACATTGATAGGATCTTTATTTATGGCATCTTTGAATGTGGCTCCTGGTACCATAAGCGTACATAAGATATGCGCCCATCTGCTATCACTGGTACGCTTCAGTGGACCACCAAACATTGGGCACATACAACACATCTGTGTTTCGTAATAACAAAACAAAATTAGATAAGACATAATGTTTAGTGAATGGCAAAAACAAAAAAAATAGATTTGTTAAACACTAACTGCATCGTTTCTGCCAGCTTTACACCTGTCACAGGCCCAATTTTGAATATCCGTAGGTAATATAGTTATACCGTAACAAGATGCATGAACAGTTACGTGACATTCTCTGCATCGTAAAAGTTTGTTATTCTCTGATTCCATGGCCTGTTCCTTAGAGTTTGCTGCATAGATAGTGGCTGGCACCTGATGCATATAAATTATTTTTCAATAAATACCTTTGCAATTTTTGCTATATATTCAAAAGAAGATTGCTACTGAAAAGTTGATAGTTATTAAGTGTTATTTTCTTACCCATATTGGTGTACTTTCAGGTAGCGTAGTTGATGTACAATATTTCCAATCAGGTGGCATCATTCTACTGCTTCCGCTTGTACACAAGGCAAAAGTAGCGCATATTGCACAATGGGACACTTGAGCACTCCAATAATCATTGAATGCTTTTAGCAGATCATTGTTTGGTATATTCGGATAAATCATATCAGAAATATGTCCTGGTATTACCGATGTTGGCAGAGAACTACAGAATTGTGGCATATCGGCAGATTGTGTTGATGTAGATTGATCTTTTATGGGTTCTATCACCAAAGCAACAGTTGGAGTAGCAACAGGCATAGTAGTAATCGCAGGAGTAACACTTATAGGAGTATCGGTCATAGAAGCAACATTTGCAATAGCTGGAGGAACAACTGTTGCAACATTTGCAATAGCTGGAGGAGCAACTGTTGCAACATTTGCAATAGCTGGAGGAGCAACTGTTGCAACATTTGCAATAGCTGGAGGAGCAACTGTTGCAACATTTGCAATAGCTGGAGGAGCAACTGTTGCAACATTTGCAATAATTGGAGAAGGAACTGTTGCAATATTTGCAATAGCTGGAGGAGTAACTGTTGCAACATTTGCAATAGCTGGAGAAGCAACTGTTGCAACATTTGCAATAGCTGGAGGAGTAACTGTTGCAATATTTGCAACAGCTGGAGGAGCAGTGTTCACAGGAACAATGGTCGAAGGAGCCATATTCACAGGTATAATAGTCTTTGGAGCAATAGCCAATGGTTGTTTTCTCCTTGTTGTAGCTTTCTTCTCTTTGGGTTTCTTTCTTAAAATAGGTGCTTTATGTTTTGATTTAGATGAATTTAAATCTAAAGAAAAATCTGTTTGCTTTTGTAAGTCTTGTACCTGTGTCTTATTGTCAGATATATTTAAACGCTCATTTCCGTGTAACATGTTTTTTTGCGTATTTGTAATTCGTGATAGCACGTTTGAATCGGTCATATTTATCCGCATATCAGTAGAATTATTAATCTGAGCTTCAACGAAAGTATTCACAGTGTTAACTTGAGAAGTATTTGGAGATGCATTATTTGACTTATTATTTTTTGCTGATGTTTTCCTACGTGATGTTCCTTTTTGCAGCCTATGACGCGTTGGTGCATTCTCAGTAATTTTTGGCATAGCTTGTTTTGAACTGTTTTGAACTGCAGATGCAGGTAACAAAAATGCCGGTATATCAGTGTTTTTATTTTGCACACACGAACTTATAGGTATCAATATAGGCCGAGGACCTACCAGGGTAGATAACATTGGAAATTGTGATATCGTATTGGGTATTGGATTTGTCTGTGGTGCTATGGATGATGGATTTAGAAAAGGAACGATATTCGATTTATCTAATGCGACTGCTTGAGACGTTTTAGGAGCATTTGGATATATATTTTGCAAGGATGTCTCTGTTAATTTCTTAGAACTGTTGCTCGTATAGGGTAAATTTCCCAAATTTATTTTCATCTTTAAATTTGTGTTAGGCTGTTTAAATGGATTAATGTTTGGAAACGTGTGCTTGCAATTGATATTGGGCACCTGAGTAATAGCAGTATCAGATGGAAGCCTCCGAATAAGAGAAAATTCTAACGATGGTGGAGCATTTTGAATTGTGCTATCGTTTTTTATATACTGCATTTCCGTTTCATCTTGTAAAACTGGAGGTTTAGGGTAAGCAGGTCGTAAAAGAAGAACACTATTTTTTTGTGAATGATCAAGATAAATCTTTGATTGCATAGGTTGCTGCATCTGCTGATTTTCAGTTTGTGATTTGGGAGGTGTAATCGATGACGGTACATTCAAACGAGGTGCTTTTAGCAAGCTTTTATGAGTATTACTTTGTATTGGCCCGCTTTCTGTAAACACATCCATATTTTTATCGTTTGTAAACTGTTCTATTTGAGCAACCATGGTTCTTGTACTTTCGTTCTGACACTCAGAATTTATGTTCTGTTCATTAGCAAAACAGTTCTTTTCGAAATTTCTATTTGTAAATGTCATTTTTGAAGAATCACTGCTATCATTTGTCGGTGAAGTAGTTATTCTGTTTTCTGTAACACTCGTTAATTCTGTGATGTCTTTTTTGTCGTTGTTAAATGCAGAACTTTTTATCGGATTAGTATTAGTTGTACTCGTAGTTTTCTTATTAAGCTCATTACTAAGCGAAACGCTTAGCTGCATTAAATTAAATTTTTCTTGGTTATTATACATATTATTTATAGCATATATGTTAAGATCATCTAATGCTTTAGCTTCAGTTTGCACAGTAGCATCTGAAACGTTTGAAGTTGATGCATCGAAAAACGGTATATTGTCGCGTTTACGTTTACCTTTAGACACACGTTTTGACTTCAATTTTTTCTGCTCGTTATGTTTTGTATGCCTCTTTTTTCTTTTGCCATCTTTTTCAATAACTGAAGGATTAAAATCATTTAAGGGATAACCCTCTATTTTTAGAGGATCTATAGTAGATTCAGCTTTTATAATAATTTCATCATTGTAATTTCCTTGAGGCACAGGAAATTCTTCCATATTTTCCTGGGATATGTATTCAAAAGTAGACATATCATCTTCAGTTTTAACTACATTCACATTCTGTGCAGTAATTTTGCTGGTTTCCTTCTTAGATTTTGATTCAATTTTTGGTTTTTTTTCTTTATCTCCATTTTGTCTTTTCTTTCTTTTCTTGCTTTTCTTGCGATTGTAACCATCATCATAGACAGTTGCTTCATCAATTTCTAAAATAAAAGTATACGATTAATAAAAATTTGTGAATCGCTATACGTGAAATATGTAATAACAAAGATTACAATAAGAAAAATAAAAATATACAAAAATGTAATTATTTTACCCATTTCTCCTGCTTTTAGCCAAATGTCTTCTAGAACTTCTAACTGTTGTTCATCTGGTGGTTCTTCTAGTTCATCAAATTCAATGTCTTGTAAGGCCTTTTTAACATCTGGTGGAATATCCGCACGATTCGCAAGTTCTTCCATATTTATACCAGGATTCGTGCGTATAATATTCTTTTTCTTATGAATCATATGTCGCTTATTTTTTGGTGTTGCACTCAAATAGCCTTGTGGTAATTCACCATTGCTATTATTACTACATAATAGATCCATTTGTGACGGCATTGGTGCAGCAGTCTGTCTAGGATCTTCAGGATGAGAACCAACATCCTCACCACGTAGCCACAATTCATACCTGTATAATCAGAGGATTAGTTATAGATAGTAAATATTTGGATGTAAATGTATTGAGTTTAGTAATATTATAAAATTAAATTATTTTTAAATAATTTAGATACAACATGCCTATCTGGTTGAAAACGTTTCACAAAGGTATCCATAGATATTTTGACCATATCTTTACTGCAGGTACATTGCGTAGCTCTCTTTCCATATTCTACCCATCTAGGTGCTGCAAAATTAGTGGATTCGGCGCAATTGAATCCATGGTTAAAACCAGCATGATAACCATATGGAAATGTAATCATTATTTCTCCAGCTTCCTGCGTTATCTGCAAGAATAAAAATATGAAAGATATATAAAAAAACTGACAGAAATATAAAATTAAGCAGCGTAAGTAGAAAACAAACTTACTTTGTTACATGGAATAGAATACTGCCTTAATATTTGAGGAGATATAAGAGACATTTTGTGGCGCAAGAAGGCTTGGCAATTTTGATAGCTGGTTGGGAAAAAGCCGCTAGCTAGTCTCTCTAATCTACGTCCATGTTCCGGAGGTATAGCGTACCATGTTTTCGGCGCACCAAAATGTAAATAATTTATGGAATATAGATCCATATCTTCTGTATGCCAGGCAAATGTAGTTTTCCACATTCCAAAATACAGATAAGCTGTATTAACACCATCGATGGATATACCATAATCCTTATTAACATAATCCAGAATTGTTCCTAAATGATTGATGTTCCACTCTTTCACATCTGGATCCGTTAAAGAACCAGATACATCTGCGCCATATATCGGCGCTACGTACGTTATATTCTTCCAGTATTTCCTCTCCAAATCTTCATAGTCAAAATGACGAGGAGTAGCATAACGATCAGAATTGGCTAATTTACTATATTCTTGTACTGTCATTAACTTCTTTTGAATATTAATTTGTTGATAAAGTCCTTGTTTTCCAGTGACAACTTGGCAGATTGGCGCTGGGATAGTAAGATCTAACTCATCTAGATTATAGCCTTTCTTTCTGGGAATCCATTCGGATGGTGGTATTACTTTTGCCAAACCAGCTTTATGAGCTCCTCGACTTTCCATATATTCCACATATTTCGTAAAATCTTTAAATTCCTCATATGTTGGTCTAAAGACCTGTATACGGGGTATCCCTCTTGCATTACTAGCCATCGTTGAATTTATTATAACTGCGAATAAAAATTTTTTTAATGTTTGATATGTAATAACACTCTAAAATGTATATATATATATATATATATATATATATATATATATATTATTGTGAGGCAAAGAACAAAATCTCTTGGAAAAATATCATTCACAATATTTGTTTCTATAATCGAAATTAAGCATAACAATTTTATATATATAATGTTGCATTTTATATTTAAAGATTACAAAAACACACATAATTTAATATCCATAAGAAAGGGAGAATGGTTATCTGTCTTTAACTCTTAAATGCTTTCTAAAGTGGAATACTCGACTTTTTTCCAATACTTTTTTCATTGCTTATAACTTTTTTAGTAATAAAGATACATACATATTTACTTAGTATGCTTCTTAATGTCTGGCATTTTGATTGAAAAACAAATTGTTTACAAAATGTTAATTTCTACGAAAGTTATAAGCAATTAAATTGGATTCAGTATGTCATATCCTCAAGCATGAGATCTACTGATAAAAATATACTTCCCAGCAAGCTAATGTTATTCCGATATTAAAATGATGACAAATGATATCATCTTGCTACTTGGGAACTATATTGTTCTCATAGTGTGACACTTAAAGATTTCAGCAAGTTGATGTTGTTCGTCATTATTTTGACATCAAAATGATGACAAATAACGTCATCTTGCTGGAAAGTGGAAACTATAGTTCTCATAGCGTGGCGCTTAAGGGTTAAGCATTAGAAAAACATAATATCCAGATAGCATAAAACATTTTAGCAATAGTGCAGCAACATGTTGGAATTATTGTCATGCTATATGGGTACTAATACATAGCAATAATTCTTGCAATAATTTACTGGATTTTATTGATGGAAAAAGACTTTAACGTCTTATGAATCCCAAAACAAAATATAATTGCACTTCTATCTTTTCAATTAAATCATAATACATAAATAAACTATGCGATAAGACTATGTGTAAAGCATATATATTGTGAAGATATTAAAATTACCAAAATTTGTGGAACATGATTATAGAAGTATAGTGAGATGATGAAACACCTTCCTTCAATTACATAACTGAATTATATCGACGCGGATCAATTATAATTACAAAATCACAAAGTATGGACGACCAAGCAAATGCATACGTTTCAAGCAATTTTTGCTTTTTAACTAAAAAAAAAACATAAAAAATATTTAATAAAAAAACATACAGTGTATTTACTCCTTAATACATGCAACGTACTCCTTATTGATTTATTGAGTTCCTCACGAAATTGTCTTAAAAATTTCAAATATATATTAAAAAAGGCATTATTCTACAGAAATAATAATACGTTTGTATTTTTTTTTAATAAAAAATGTGTAATATATGCATAGCTTAATCATTTTTACGTATTCTTCTTTCACTCCATTTTTTTTTAGTTATAAAATTGATATTTTAAGACATTTAATCAATTTTGTGAGTAATTTTATCAGTGAAACAATTTATTACGTTTCCTAAGGATCGAGCATAAGAAGAAATGTCACGCTTCATTGACGGGTGACGCTTCATCGGGATAGTATTGAATCACGCTTGTATGCTAATTACATTTTTGGCCAGACCGACATGATACTCCCGGCAAGTGTTAAAAACCAGCATTCGTATTACAGCGTACAATATACAAATTAATATTACGCTGCTTCTCATTCAGTCTTCGACAGAAACATTCCACACGTGGATCCCGCGTTCAAGATCTAAGTAGGATGCCCATCAGCCCATGTGCGACTTGCGTAAATAAACAGCGGTTGTGTGCATCCGATGCGCGAGATGACATGAGGAAACAAGTTGAGGCGGCAATGAGGAAGACAGGAAAAACAAAAAATGTAAAAAATCGAACACGTGGTCAACGAGATGCCGAATAGAAAGCGTAGTACGACAGAAATTCAAAGCTTTCGAAACTACAATGAAAAGGAGTGAGGGGGAGGGGTTCCGATGGTGTTGTGGTGGTAGTGGTGGTGGTGGTAGTGGTGGTGGTGATGGAAGGAGTCTATAAACAAAATGGTAGTTATCTATTGTTGCCAGGATTCCCTCGGGTGGATACTTTTTCGTAACGGACAATCCATCCGATACACTCGACATCCGCTCGTTCCGCCGCGCGAAATAACTGTTCTTTTTTCAGCGATTATCCGATTAATCTGATATGTGCGTGAGTGACTGTGGCGGACGCGGAGGCATGTTGCGAGAGGAGTTCAGCGGTAGCACCGGGACGGAGAGAAACGGGTGGACAGAAGCGGCGTCGTCGCGCCTGGATCGCAAAAACGAGCGATACTTACATCTGACAAGCCTAGGGATCACCTCTCCTGTATCAGTATCATCGTCTGCGAAATGCTAACGTGAATACCACAATTTTCGAAGACACACACACGCGCACCGTCGTGGTAGCTGATGCTTTGAGCAGCTTTGAGTCGCGCGTCGTCCGTACGTATACGGCAAGGTGGCGTTCCAGCTCAACTCCAGATTAGGTCGCGTGACCGGAGCGCCATCTGTCTGACGCGTGCGAGATTCGAATTTTCGGCGTTTGTCACGTACGCCAACGGTGACTTCGGTGAGCTAGTGGCGTGCACTAGCGTCACCAGCGACGTAATTAAAGGCCGCAGCACACACTCTTGCACAACGCATAATGCATAGTGCATAAAGGAATCAACCAATCAAAATCACCGACGAGATACTATTAAAGGCCGACATCCTTACGGGAGTTCGCGTCCTTGTGAATATTGAAGCGATTAAAAGTTAAAAACTGATAATATTGTACTAATTTTATGAATTATTAGTTTAGTAGATGTATTTATGCATTTATAACTCAATGATACTCGATTTTTCTTTAAAATTGAGATTTCAGTGTTATCATCAAAGTTTGATTATCAATAAAGATGATAATTGCAGAGAAAAAATTGTGATTTTTTTGCAATATATAAGGTATTACAGCTTTACAAGTATGTATATTTATTTATGTAATAAAAAATTTATTTATTCGTGGGACATTTACGTAATAAAAAATTATTTATGGGACATTTATGTAATCATGAATTTAATAATTCATGAGTCAAATATTTATATTAATAATAGCAAATTTATATCAATTGTCGATAATGTCAGCGTTCTCGAATTACCTCCGAGCCGTTGGGGCCTTTTTTATACCGCCGAAAATTTGCCCAGGATTGACGGTCTTTAAAATATCTCGTCGGTGTCAAAATTCTTCTTTTCCATGGAATGAGAGGAAAGGAAAGATTCTGATTAGTTGATTCGCTTATGCACTATGCATTATGCGTTATGCAAGAGTCTGTGCTGCGGCCATTAAGGGCCATTCCACACAAACTTGCAGAACCACTTAGGCTGGGTTCGGGGAGACGCTATTAGCGCTATTTGTGTCATTCTATCTTCATCGTCCATTAAATGTGAAACAAGGATAGTATGACACAAGTAGCGTTGATAGCGCGCTCCTCGAACGCAGCCTTAATCATATGCATAAAGAAAATTATCCAATCACATTTCTGTCATACAGACAAACATAAACTACGATTGGATGATTTTCTTTATGCATATATTTATGCAACTATGTAAGTTTGTGTGGAATGCCCTTAAAGGCCGCAGCACACACTCTTGCATAACGCATAATGCATAGTGCATAAGGGAATCAACCAATCGAAATTCTTTTTTTCCATGGAATGAGAGGAAAGGAAAGCTTCTGATTAGTTGATTCGCTTATGCACTATGTGTTATGCGTTATGCAAAAGCTTGTGTCTGGGCTCTAAAGCTGGGTCTACAATAGAAATCGTAGCAGTCGTAGAGTCTTAAGGGCTATCGCACATGAAATGCATAACAGAGCATAAGCATAACATAAGGCCGCTAAACCAATGAGCATCTTATGTAAATCAATATGGCGACATTATGCTAGATGCTCATTGGTCCAGCAGTCTTATGTTACGCGTATGCTCTGTTATGCATTTCATGTGCGATAGCCTTAAGTCGTAGAAAATTAACCAATCACAATAGAATATGAGAAGAATAATCGACTATAATTGGTCAATTTTCTACGACTTAAGGCCCTACGACTGCTACGACTTCTATTGTAGACCCCGCATTAAGGCCACGACACAGACTTTTGCGTAATGCATAAGGCATAACGCATAACGCATAGCGTAACGTGTAGCAACGCACAAACTTGTACATAAGTTTGTACTATTTGGAATGTCTCAACTGGAAATAAGATAATATTATGTAATTATACAATATCATTATATTATATAATTTTGTAAATAATGACAAATACGTCATATTCCTATCTGGGATGTCTAAACGTACTTATCTATGGAGTGATCCCGATTGACCACGGCTCAATTGGACACCACCAATCACAGCGACTGGTGCTTAGGAGCTTTGTAGTCTCAAGCGCTGTGAGTGGCT